GCAGTATCTAAAAAAAAAACTTAAATAAAAAAAAACAAAAAGAAACTTAACTCGCACTCTAAATGAACGCTTGGAAGGTGTTAGATACTTTTGCTGCAGCCGTATTTTGGAACTGAAGAAATTACGTTAAGCAGGTACACGTTTTTTTTATGACTCATAAGGGAGAGGTTGTTGGATGCACTCTCCAATTGCAAAATTTACTATCACAAATTTCGCGATTTTTCGTGATTGAAGACCTGCCTTTTATTTCAAAAGCTCTTTATTCATACATACATAGCGCTAGCTTAGCGTGCTTAGTCCATTTTTAGAAATTTGACAGGAGCGGAAAAAAACGTGTTATAGCCATTTCATTCGAGTATTTTGCAAAACTTTGAATATAACATTTTACGTGTTTAAAGCAATATGAATCCGGGGGTTTCGATCTTTATTAAAATATTTCGTATTATTTTGGCCTTATCGGATTCTCGGTGCCTATTTTAGACTTTGCAAATTTACCTTTAATTATTCCGTGTCGCCTTTCGAATCGCATTGAGTTTCGAATCGCAATACAGATTACATATACCCCCAGATTATCCGGTTTTTATCCAGATATCCTGTTCTGATCCAGATATCCGCTTAATATCAGTTAGTTTTGCTATCCGGATATCCGGTTAATATTCGTTAATTTTGAATTCCGGTTAATATACGTTAATCAGGTATCCGGATTATCCGGATATTCAAAACATCTTCCCAGCCCTAGTTTAAACCGCTTGTGTGTGGCTGTTGTAAAGCCCTGCCTAAATCGGCTACTCGCACTAAAGACAGCGTGGTCTTAGTTGATTGGGGCAAGTTGTTGGTGCCGTGGGGGCACCTTCACAAACCGGATATAAGTTTGATACTTGCAGTAGCCAGCACATAAATTTTCCAGATTTACGGGGTCTTTCGCGGCTGCTTAAGCTCTTTGTCTGTAATGGTCTGGTAGTGATTGAATAAGGCCATACGCAATAAAGCCATATGGCAATAAAGCCATATTTTTAGGCAATAAAGCCATATGGCTTTATTTCCAATCAGAAAGAGAAATAAAGCCATACAAAAAATTTTGCAAATGAGAAATAAGCCATATTCTGAAATGACACTCTCAAGGCGAATTAATAAGGCGGTGTTACCGGCGAATCTGAATTTTTCGCCGTAGAGAACATTACGCCCAAATGATGTGTGTGACGCCCTCTTGAAATTGATACTGAATTATTTAAATTGATTGGATATTGGAAAATAAATATATGTACTCAGGTAAGTTTTAATTTTGCGAGTGCATAACCTGGCGGGTGCACATTTGCTGGCTCCCCGCACCGCGCCACGCACGGTCGCGCCGCGCACGGTCGCGCCGCGCTCGCGACCACCGCGTCCCCGGCGGTTAACGGCGGAGCGCGGCGCGGCTGGACGCGAAGGAGAGTAATTGCATGTTTAAGGTGACGTTGTAGTTAAAGGCGGTTTAGTTGTTTTGTTGCGAACTTTTTCCATTGTTTAAATAAAAGAAATATACAAATTTTAAAGCGAAATAAAGCCATATGGCCTAATTACCAATTGTAATTGGAAATAAAGCCATATCGAATTTATGGCCTTATTACCAAAAAAAATATGGTTTTATTTCCAATATGGCTTTATTGCGTATGGCCTTATTGCACCCCACCGATTGAACACCAATTACGACATTTACGGAGCGAGAGTTAGTGGACATGATAACGTTCTCTCTCTGAATGCCGCTTACCACCTCACTGTACAGGGTCGGCTCCAGTGGTCGTTGCAGTTAGTCCTACACCTCGTCCTTCAATTCGTGGACAAGTCTTCTGATGCCCCTAAGAGAAGAGTCTGCCTCCAGCAAGTGTCTTTTCTGGTTCCGACATTGTTTGCAGCCGAGTATAAACTGCTTGCTAGCGTAATGTGTTGCTCCCTTACCAGAAGCATCTGCGCTTCGCTATCCAAATCCAGTAGACCCTAGGATCCTCAGGTTATTCAAAATCGGAATTGGTGCGATCGACCGGAAGTCCCACTGCAGCCTGACCTTTTTCGAACCGGTAGTAAAGATGGTTGTCGTGACTTTCGTGGGAGAGAGGGCTGCGCTAGTTGCTCGCGCGAAATTCAGCGCTGATTTTTGTAACCCCTCTGCAGTACGAAATCTTGGTTCGCGCCGTTTGGAATCAGCTTTATGATCGGCTCGGCTTTCAAGGTCCATTCTGAGGGTGTCAAGTGGTACGTAAAGTACGGGACGGCACTGCCCCGAGTATCTTTAATACTGGGGAATGGAGAACTACCGGACGACAATATACTTACCAGCCAACAAGACCAGCACGGCTATAGTAGTGGGACTACCCTCCCTCATTTCCATACCTAGACAAATTGTGAATCTTGGTGAGGCATGCTACCTCCGGCGCACCCATTTTTTTCAGCATAAGCATGCATTATTCGTCAGGACAAATGGCTTTCGCCTTTCGAATGGTCGCCTAAACCTTGCCTCTGGTAATAGTGCGAGTTCCACTGTGTTTTTTGCCAGTTTTTGTGGCTTTCTGATCATTCTACGCTTAGCTGTACCCATCGAAGGATGCACTTTAGGTCCGACGAAGCGCGATCAACGAGTAAAAACTCCACTTGGAAGCAGCGCTTCGTCTGGTTGGACCGCGCCGTACGGATGAATAGAGGTTTCTCGCTCTTCAGGTGCTCTTCCCACTCTCTCTGTTTACACTGATTAACCAGTTGTCGAGTCAACGAGTGCGGCCGCAAGGCACTGCAGCATGGGGCGGAGTGGTAACTTATACACTCCAAAATTGTGCGCAGGTCAGAACATTGTCATAAGCGGAACCAGAAAAGGGCAGGAATTGTCACGCATGGAAATGGCGGTGTTGGGAGCCAAGAGCAGCTGGTTATCTCTCACACGTGTGAACCTGCGGACTGCCTGAGTTGGAGCCTTTGGAAGCATGCACCAGAAGAGTTGCATATAACCGAAGTGAGGTTCGGCTGGAGTCTTCAGCAACCCTGAAACAAGGAGTTGTCCAGGGACGAACAATGATTAGTAGGGTTTACAAATCTAAACAGGATTTGATCTCCCGAATAACAGCTCTTGAGCGGGAAAAGTTCGAATCTCTAGTCAGTCCAAAGTAGCACTTGTTGTATTGTGGAACCATTTTGCGTCATTCCTTGTCTGAAAATCGTTCCACAATACATCGTAATCCTAGCTTGTCAACCAAAATTAGTGATTCTCAATGGAAATCCTAGCTAGACATTATTACCGGTGTTAATTCTGATTCCCAAGAAGGCGAAATTCTCGGAAACGAAAAGTCGAGAAGTAACCAAAGTAATTTGAAACTTCGTATTTTTCGAGGACGCTGATTTCGAATATAATGTAAGATTTTTGAGATTCAAAATGGCGGATACAATATGGCGAATAAATTTCACAATTTATTCCTTTTCACCAAAAACTCATGGGGGGTTTTCGAGGTCGCTGATTTCAAATCTGATGTCAGATTTTTTAAAGTCAAAATGGCGAATCCAATATGGCGCCCAAATTTTGTCATTTTTCATTGGATCCATTTTTAAGGACTTTTCTTAGTTTACAGTGAACATAGTTCTCGCTACATGACGAAGCGTTGTAACTTGCAACCAGCGTTCGAAAGGTATGTGCTCCGAGTACTCGCTAAAGTTGACATAGAATTTCTAAAGCAAAGAGAGGACGTCATATTTATGAGCAGAGGTCATAATCAAATAGCGTGCCCGCAAAAAGTTAACTCACCAGCTGCATCTGCTGTGGCTCTTCCAATTAAGACAACACTACCAGTATTGACTACTAGGTTTAGCAATAACTTTTCCTTCCTGGCAGTCACAAGTGTCTTTTTAGTTACGTTTCTTTGAGGTTCAAGGCAAAGTTACAAAATGAGTTTTTGTTTAGAATTTGGGACGCATAGGTGCGTCGCGTCCTGCTGAATACATATTTGGAAACACATTTAAAGAAAGGTGACTTAAATTAACTTTCATACCCTGCATAGACTATTCTAATAAACGTTGCTTAATTTTTCATATGGGTAAACATGTGTATGTGTGTATGTGCTTTCTAAATCCCATAAGGTCTAAAAAGTTTCGTAATAATTTTCCATAAGTATACATAATAAGATAAAAGTGAACAACATAGAATACGTTAATTTTTACGAGCAACCAACTCTACACGCTGACCTTAATTAATCCTCTTTCTAGCCAACACAATGCAAAAGATTTGTAGACAACTGTATGTAACAGTATCCTTGTTCACCCATTGCCGTATTTACCTGGCGCATTGTGTACAGAAAAGACAAAACTGCCAACACTCGATGACCCCATTTAACTTGGTTACACAGCTTTATTTTGTGACCCTGTAAACGGCAATCCCCCTTCACTACATTCTCTTGACTTTTACGTTAGCGGCGTTGCTGGCTTTTGTCCAGTTCACCGTTGTTCAATAGTTATTATGTGAGGTGGACACTATTGCTGGTTAGCTTATTTTTGTAATTTACATAAGTAGCACATATGTACATTAGACTGAACCAGAGCAAAAATACGCTGTAAAACCCCTGAGTCACAGTGTGTTGTAAACATATACATACATGTCGAGTTCTTGTCTCAAGGAAAACGTTTTTTTTGCTCCAAAATACATTGACTCGTACTTAACCACCAAATCTCAGTTCACCCTAATGTCAGTAAATAAAAGCTCGTCAAAAATCAGGTATTCCATTATTCCAGTAGAACCATAAAAAAATTGTTTTTGGCCAAATTTGGGCGTCATAAAAAAATGTAAAAAGGCGACCCATAGAATCGGTCAAGCAAATTTTTTGCGAAGTTGCCTTGCAAAAATACTTTAGGGTGGTACGGTCTAATGTACATGCATACATACTACATAGTATATATGTATATACGGTATACTTAGATATTCTGAGGTAATATTTTTGTTATGCTCAACTAATAACTTATGCATTCTTTTCCTGCGCTTCCCCTTTTAGGCTATGGTCGCCGCGAGGTAGTCGAGTTTCTACTGAATAGTGGCGCTTCCATACAAGCATGTGACGAGGGTGGTCTACATCCGCTACATAATGCCTGCTCATTTGGGCATGCTGAGGTCGTACGATTACTGCTAAAGGCTGGCGCAAGTCCCAATACAACAGACAATTGGAATTACACACCGCTGCACGAGGCGGCCAGCAAAGGCAAAGTGGACGTTTGCATAGCATTGCTGCAGCATGGTGCCAATCCGAATATACGCAATTCAGAGCAGAAGACGCCACTGGAATTGGCCGACGATAATACACGACCTGTACTCACTGGCGAGTATCGCAAGGATGAGCTATTGGAAGCGTCACGCTCTGGTGCAGAAGATCGCTTACTGGCATTGCTCACACCATTGAATGTGAATTGTCATGCCAGTGATGGTAGACGCTCGACACCGCTACACTTGGCGGCTGGTTATAATCGCATCGGTATTGTGGAGATTCTATCGGCGAATGGTGCGGACGTGCACGCCAAGGACAAGGGTGGTTTAGTGCCGCTGCACAACGCCTGCTCGTATGGACACTTTGAGGTGACCAAGCTGCTGATCAAAGCGGGTGCCAATGTAAATGCGAACGATTTATGGGCGTTTACGCCATTGCATGAGGCAGCATCGAAAAGCCGTATCGAGGTATGCAGTTTGTTGCTGAGCAAAGGCGCCGACCCGACGCTGCTCAATTGCCACAATAAGTCGGCAATCGATTCGGCGCCAACACGAGAATTACGTGAACGCATTACGTGTAAGTTTCCTGAGTTGGTTTTAGTTAAATTAACAGTTACAAATGAAGTTTTATTGTATGTCTTGCAGATGAATTCAAAGGGCATTGTGTGCTGGACGCATGCAAAAAGGGTGACATAGCGCGCCTCAAAAAATTCCTCTCCTCCGAAACTGTCAACTTTGTGCATCCATATACGGGCGACACACCGCTACACGCCGCCGCCATTTCAATTGATCCCAAACGCAAGCAGATAACAGAAATACTTATACGCAAAGGTGCGTTGTTGAACGAGAAGAACAAGGCCTTCCTCACACCTCTACATCTGACAGCCGAGCACTTGCTTTACGATGTGATGGACACGCTTCTGAAGAATGGCGCCAAAGTGAATGCGTTGGATGGTCTGGGTCAGACCGCATTGCACAAGTGCGCCAGGGATGAACAGGCCGTGCGTCTATTGCTTTCGTATTCCGTAGATGCAACTATCATTTCGCTGGAGGGCTACACTGCAGCACAGCTAGCCTCCGACGCTGTGTTGAAGATACTTAAGGATCCGCCAGATACGGAAACACATCTATTGGAAGCCGCTAAAGCGGGCGATTTGGACACGGTGCGTCGCATTGTGCTCGCCAATCCGCATACAGTGAATTGCCGCGACCTGGATGGACGTCACTCCACGCCGCTGCACTTCGCCGCCGGCTTCAATCGTGTGCCAGTCGTAGAATTTTTGTTGGAGCACGGCGCAGAAGTGCATGCCGCCGACAAGGGTGGACTAGTTCCACTACACAACGCTTGTTCGTACGGCCATTACGAGGTCACGGAGTTGCTGGTGAAGCATGGCGCGAATGTGAACGTGTCCGATTTGTGGAAATTTACACCGCTGCATGAGGCGGCGGCCAAAGGCAAATATGACATTGTGAAATTGTTGTTGAAACATGGCGCCGATCCGTCGAAGAAGAATCGCGATGGTGCCACGCCAGCTGATTTGGTTAAAGAGTCCGATCATGACGTAGCGGAGCTGTTGCGTGGCAACTCAGCGCTGCTGGATGCCGCTAAGAAGGGTAACTTGGCGCGCGTACAACGCCTTGTTACACCGGAGACGATCAACTGTCGTGACGCACAAGGACGCAATTCCACACCACTGCATCTGGCGGCTGGCTACAATAACTACGAAGTCGCTGAGTATCTGTTGGATAATGGCGCCGATGTCAATGCACAAGACAAAGGCGGCTTGATACCGCTGCATAATGCCTCCTCCTACGGGCATCTGGACATAGCGGCGCTCTTAATTAAACACAAGACTGTGGTGAATGCCACCGATAAGTGGGGCTTTACGCCGCTGCATGAGGCCGCGCAAAAGGGCCGCACACAATTGTGCGCGCTGCTGCTTGCACACGGCGCAGATCCATACATGAAGAATCAGGAGGGCCAAACACCAATCGAGTTGGCGACTGCGGATGATGTGAAATGCCTATTGCAGGATGCAATGACAACATCCTTGGGCGACTCGACACTTAGCTCCTCGCAGCAATCGCTGGTCAGCAATTCACCTTCACCGGCACCAACTGCTGCTGCGGGCGCAGCAGCGAGTACATCTGCAGCCGCCGCTGCCGCTACTTGCCTGACTGCCGCTGCGGCAGCCTGCAATGTACTTTCACCAACTACTGAGACCGTAACACTGCCTTCTGGTGCCTCGATGACGCTTAGTGTACCGGTGCCGTTGCCGCTGTCAACGCGCATTAGTCCTGCGCAAGGCGCTGAAGCGAACTCTGGTGATATGACCAGCGGCGAAGAGGTGCCCGATCCCGATTCCATTACCAATGTGGCCAGCTTCTTGTGCAGCCAACAGTTGGAGCATTTGATAGATCTCTTTGAGCGTGAACAAATCACGTTGGAAATACTAGCCGAAATGAGTCATGAGGATTTGAAGCAAGTGGGCGTGTCTGCGTATGGGTTTAGACATAAAATATTGAAAGGTATTGCGCAGCTGCGCGCCACCACAGGTAAGACAGTGTGCAAAATATTTATTTTGATATATTCTAATGACAAGTATTGCGCTCTTAAAACTATACAGGCATTGGCAACAATGTCAATCCAGGTACTCTATTAGTGGATCTCTTGCCAGACGATAAGGAATTTGTCGCTGTTGAAGAAGAAATGCAGGCTACCATACGTGAGCATAGAGACAATGGCCAAGCGGGCGGCTACTTCACACGCTACAATATTATACGCGTAAGTCATGAAAGTTTAACAATATTTTCGATTTATTAAAAATAATATTTTTTCAGGTTCAAAAGGTACAGAATCGCAAACTTTGGGAGCGTTACGCACATCGTCGTCATGAAGTGGCCGAGGAGAACTCCATACAAGCCAATGAGCGTATGCTTTTCCACGGCAGTCCTTTCATCAACGCAATCGTGCAGAAGGGCTTCGATGAGCGTCACGCCTATATTGGCGGAATGTTTGGTGCGGGTATTTATTTTGCTGAGCACAGCTCGAAAAGCAATCAATATGTGTATGGCATTGGTGGAGGGATTGGTTGTCCATCGCACAAGGACAAGTCTTGTTATGTTTGCCCAAGGTGAGTTTAAGTTGAATTTAAGCGAGTAAAACACTTGTTCCGAGCCGATTGTAATCCAATTCGTGAGTGGAGTAAAACGATTTTTCATTTATGGCGTTTTCGTTTCTACCGAAAAAGGTTACCTTCTCTTTGCCCTCTACGCACAAATGCTTAGAAGAGGGCAATGAATCCAAATAGTGCGACTGATCCCTCGCTAAATAAAAAACGCTACAGAGTTGGGCTTTCGAATAAGAAAAAAAATGTTAAAAAGCCCTAAGCTGGCTAACCGTCAAACAAATTTTGACATGGGGCGATTGAAATCATTCGCAAAATACATCTACATATGTTTCAGTTATACATATATTAATACATATCTGAAGCTCTCAACATCTTAAAATCGTAGAAATTATTCGATATGATTTTTCCAAAATTTGCATTTCATTTTGCAGACAACTGCTTCTGTGTCGCGTAGCACTGGGCAAATCATTCTTGCAGTACAGCGCAATGAAAATGGCACACGCACCGCCAGGACATCATTCGGTTATTGGTCGACCATCAGCCGGTGGGCTACATTTCGCTGAATATGTAGTGTATAGAGGAGAGCAGGCAAGTGAAAAATGCACAGCATCTAAGAGACATATTTTTTCATTACATGCCTTTACTTTCTTTCTACTCTAGGCCTATCCCGAGTACTTGATTACTTATCAAATCGTTAAGCCTGATGACAGCAGTAGCGGCAATGAGGAATCGAGATGATGGCCATCAGTTGGTTCGACGCCCACCACTACTTCGCCTGCACAACAGCAACACCAACATCCGCAGCTGCAACAGCAACAGCAACAACAACAGCAGCAGCAATTGCAACATCAGCAACCTCAACAGCAACAAAAACACCACAATTCGATAACAACAACAGCAACACAACACGCGCATCCGCACACGCACCAGCACTCGCATCCGAAATTGCAACAGCAGCACTCACTGCCACTGCAACTGCAGTATCATCATCACTCACAACATCACCAGCTGGTGACCACCACACAGCCTTCACCGGCTGGCACGTTCATCAGCCAGACGGCGGGTATTATCACAACCGTTGCCAACAGCGATATGCTGGGCCACAATGGCGATATTTCTCCGCTCTCTTCCAGCAATTCTTTCTCCTCAGTGGACACCAATCAAACCCTACTTAACTCAATTGCCAACCAAGCGCAACTGCAACACCAACAGTCGTCCTCATCGCATATATTGCCTCAGCTGCCACCGCCGCCCACAAGCAATAACAGCAGTTCCAATCGTCATGGCACCAGCAATCGCTCATATCGCACCAAGTATAGCCAATTCATGATAATCACACCAGCGGTCTCCATTGATCGTGACTATGAGCATGATGAAGCTTTTGGCAGTGGTGGATCCGCTGCAGCTGCGTTAACTAACAATTTCGACTTTGATGAGGATGCCTATTGCAATGACAACAACACCAATGCCAATGGCAACAACAGCAATGCCAATAATGGCAACATTTTTCGGATGTCACTACTGCAAAATAGCAGCAGCATTGATAGCGGACACAGCAGTGACAGCTCTTTCCGCTCCAACTACAATCCCTATCTACATCACAGTCGCCAACATTTGCTACCCAAAGGGGCGCCACATTTCTACACGTTCTCCTCGTGGCGCTGGTGCACACTAATTTGTGCTGCAATGCGTTGCTTTGGTGGCGGACATAGCTCACATGCGCCGTACAGCACCAGCTTTGCGCGGCCACCATATCAGCGTTCGCGTAGCTCCGGCGCACAAACAACCCGTTCCTCGCAGCCACATCGGCGTTTGCGCTCCTCTTCCTTTACTGCTGAGACGGCTTTCGAGCATTTCTCGGCACCCTTTAAGGCGCGCAAAACGCGCGACCATCTCAACAACATCACCTACGAATTGTGACGGTGGCAGCAGCGATCACGACGACCCCAATGCCAATTCGAATTTGAGCCCCGCAATTGTGTGGTGATGGCCATTGCAGTTGTACTAGTGCTACAAACAATTCGAGCGACTGCAACGCAGAAAGCTATTAACGTGTTTTTTGATCTCGTATTCGTATTTGTATGCGCTTTGTTGATCGGCAGCGCAACATTAAAGCAGCCGTGTTGTTGCGAGAGTAGTGCCAGTGCCGACAGCACAGTGTCATCGTATTCCACTTTGAACGTTTATTATTATTACTTATTATGAAAGAAAACAAAAAAACACAAAAACGATAAGAAAATCAAACAAAAAACTATTACTCGTATTAAAATCTTACATTTACTCCATATTTCTTGTACTTTTAACTTATAGTCGTCGTCGTCGTCGTGTTATAGAAGATACTGAACAAGTAAAAAATATACAACATAAATATATGATATACATAGATAAGTGTGTACACTTTAGGGCAACGTTTTGAGGGAATGAAGAATGCATAAAGACTAAGCGAGAGAAATATAGAGAAAAAGGAAAACATTAAAATATCAGCAGCAACGGAATGAAAATCAAAGGCTATTAAGACGGAGATTCTCATACGCCAACTTAAACCTGATTGAATGCATTTGCTGAAGTATGAAGCGAAGCTAGATTTGTACTTCTTTAACATTTAACATTTTTTTTGTTTTTTTTAAATTGCATATGACTCCCGTTTGGGGCATTTGAAGAGTGAATTTGTGCTCTCCGCGCAATATATTTCACCATTCGGCCAGATCTCACCATTAACATTTTTTTTTTAAATTGAAAATGTCCGAATTTGTTGTCGTTTTCTTGCTTCATTCAGTGCATTCATGAAAAAATTAAAATCACTAAAGGAAAAATGTCTAAAACTGCAATCAGAGGTATCTTATGTCAGGCCATAATCAGTGGCCATGGTATATATGTACATATGTACATTTGTCACAACCAAAACATTAATATCTCAGTGGTGGTCATATAACTAGGGACGCGTTCAAATTTTTTTTCTTTTTGTTTAAGCTCTCGACAACTGCCCAGTGATTTTCAATCGGGTTAAGATCAGTACTTCGAGCGGGCCAATCCAAACCACTTTCCTGCAGGAAACCAAGCTTTGATGCTTCTAGCCGTATGTCTTGGATCGTTATCCTGCATAAAAATGAATGCAGCAGGCACATTCTCGTCGGAAAATTGCCTTCAATTTGTTCATCCATATATCTTTGTACAGATTTTGATCCATTCGCTCTGTTATCCGACACATACTTTTTTCACATCCGATCCAAATAAGTTAGATTTGGATTCTTCGATGTTAATCTAAAATTCTGAGGCTATTCGGCATGTTCCCGTGCAAAGTGAATGCAACGTTTTAAATTCCTGTTTGCGGATTTTTGCTTGCAATGCATCCACCCAGTTCCCCATCAAATAATCGGTGTCGAATGCTAGGGTGTCTCTCGTCACTCGTAGTATGGTATTACGATCTATACCACACGTGTGTCACTTTTATACTACAAATCATTGTAGTTGCTACGTAGCAAAGGCAAACTACAATATTGATATTGAAATTTCTATACTACATGTGTGCACCAGGCATAATGGTCCTTGTGGATATGTTTTTGTAGTTTACCCTTTATTGCTCATGGATTTGCGTGGAAGTCAGAAAAAGTTCAGCTTTGCTCGTTCTGCAAATTAGTCTGTCTCGGCTTTGATTTGCTTATTGAATGTCTTTAATTATGTGGCCACCACTGTATGTAGGTCGTAACTTAAACATACGCACATACATACATGTAACCAGAGTATAATTATGGCATGCCATTAATCTGTCATAACATAAATACAGATACTTATCAAAATTATGCATAGCTATATGTCACACTGCAGACATATGCCATCTTGCCAATTGTACCACATTTAGGAAAAACTATTTTTGACATCAAACAATTCCGTTGCCTTCGCAAAACAAAATTAAATTAAAGTTGTGACGGTATTCGTTCATTGGACAACCTTGCTTTTAACATGACCTTTACTACTTATAGAAGCATTGCAAGCTCAACTAAAGCCTCAAAAATTGTGTTTCTCAACTTGAAAAAAGGATAGTTCTCAAATGTTATCAACAGAATTGTACATTTTTCCAGGAATTGACATCCAGTACAGAGAGAAATTGATTATCGATTTGGTAATTTCATAATTAAAAATTCGTAAAAGATTTGAGTTACGTATGTTACTGTTTTTTTTATTTTATTTTAGAACTGCCGTCTCCGTGGCACTCTTTGGTCAGACATCCATCCAACTCGTTCCGATAGCATAGATTTACCTTTTGACCATTGTCAAGCAGTCATTTTTTTCATATATCTTGTTTTGCTAATCAGTGATTCATTACTACTAGAGTATATATGTATGCTTGAATGCCTCTGGTTGCAATTTAGAACGGTGGGTCGTATGAGAGAAAATTTGTTTGATTTTTTTTTTATTTGAGAGCTAAACAAAACATGCGAGCAAGCAAATCGTGTGAAGAATAGTAACAAGAAAAATCTATTTTGTCGTATATTAAAGTAAAAAGTTACACCAACAAACTTATACATAAAACTTACATGCATATAAACGTATACATCATACAAACATATATTTTACTTAAGTGACTTTGAATGCGTAACCTTAAGTGTTTACAATTTACGATCTTCAATCCATTCTCTACCTACATACATATACAATATATTATTATTGATATATACTAAATGATGATAATTGTATGAAGATACAAAACGATAATGAATAATAAAACGCAATGTTTAACTTCAATTAAAAATATAAACTAAAAAGAAATTGAAAATGTTATTTTATTGTGGCAAGTAAAACGTAATAAAAATATTTAGTTTCATTGTTTAATTTTAAAATAAATTTTATTTATTTGCATGCAGGTTAAAAATTCTGTGCTGTTTATGTTGAGGATGCTGTGTCAGAAGGAGCCGCTCGGGAATCTTTCGATTGCCTTCGTTCTGGAAATTTCGATGTTTCGAAGGTGCAGCTCGCTGTGGTTGTCCATCATTAAAAAAATGCTTCAACAAGAACGCCATACAAGCATATATGAGATCGCTAGGCAGCTGAACATGTATTACTGAACTGCTTTAAACAACCCGGAAAAGGTTGAATGCAAAAAGAGACTCGATGCTTTGGTTCCTCATAACTCACCGGCGAGAAATTAAATGCAGAGAACTTCCATCTGCGAATCGCTTTTGAAACGGAATGAAATCGTTGAAGCGAATGGATCACAAACGTCGGAAAGCATCTTGATCCAAGAAGGATCGCTCCCAGGACAGTCGGATCGACGTAACCGAAACGACCCAAATTTATACCTGGTAAAGGACTGTCACTCCAGCATCACTCTCCAAAAGCGAATTTGTATTCTACAACAACAACGTCCAATAAGGATACGGAATAGGAATAATCGTTAACAAAACGAGCATTGATTTCACGGAAAGTAAAGTTCTGTGTTTGGTATAATTGAAAGGGGCACGCCATTTTGAACAGTTTTGACTATTTTGCTTCTTTTAATGTATATTATTTTTTTTTTTACAAAAATTCAGCTCATTATTTAACACAAAACCATATAAGCCTAAAATTCAAACTTTGTTGAAAAATTAGAAAAATTCAACAAAATCTCACAACAACAACAAACTTTTCATTACGAAGTCGCGTTTATTTTTGGTAAGTTGAATAATTGTTTTTTTTTTTTTTTTGTATGGAAGAAATAACACTATCGCAAAAAATAAAAATAAAAAAACGCGAATTCTTGGCCACTTGAAACTTCTACTTTATTGAGCTAAAATTTAATGCGCTATAAAACAGCATAGATACTTAGATTTTTTTCTAAAAATTTTTAATAAAAAATAAAATTTTGTTGAATTCTTCTAATTTTTCTTCGAAGTCTGAAATTTAGACTTATATTCGTTAGATAATGAGCTGTGTTTTTATATAAAAAAAAAATAAACATTAAACAATCAAAAGAAAAATAGCCAAAACTAGGCAAAATGTCGTGTCCCTATTATTTTTCGCATGACTGTATATCATATGCTACGGCCCCTGCAGAGCTCCCTTAATGGTATTAACTTCAAAACAGTCTTGTTATAGTCATTTGATTCAGTTTTTCTTCCAAAATGCACAGAAGTGGAATCCACAAAAGTTCGAATTTGGTACATAGTTGATTTTTGTAGTCACAAAATACGACGCAAATCCACACATACCCACCTTTTCACCGACACACAGTTGGCTGTGTTGCAAAATGGATGGTTAGAAAATCCGTATAAACGAATAATTCATTTAACGCGAAGTCGAAATTGGCTGGATTTCTTTATACAGTCCGTTTTTAATTGGAATTATTATTATAATAAATTTGTATGTATTACTGTTCACTTCCATTTTGTCCATCGCGTTCATTTATTATTAAACAAACGTCGAAGAAAACCAGCAGATTTTGTTTAGTTTTCAATACGGTTTCATCGGGTGCGCTATAAAGACTGAGGAATAAACGTTTGAAAGAAATATGTGTTGAATCAAATCGGTTTTTTCGTAGGTATATGACTCCGCGATAAATTTGGAATATCCGAAAAACTAGTACGGCTATGTAATTGACCTTAAGCACATCCTTTGTTGTTGTTGTTAGAGCTCTTATACCTACAAAGGGAAAAGTAAAGTTTCGATTAAAATAATTTACCTCAAATTATAAATTTGAAAACAAGTTTTTTTTGGTAATTTTAATCTTCAGTCATAATCCCTTTTATAGGTTTTGTAGGAGATATTTTTGATACTGTGACTCGAGTGTTTATTACTTCGTAGGAGCTGGGTTCCATCCCTGGTCCGAGCAACCAGGTAGCCCCTCGACAGGCAATACCAAACCTCCGCGTGTATTTCTGCCTTGAAAAAGCTTCTCATAAAAATGCGTTTCGGATGCGGCGTAATACTTTAGGTCTCTCCAATTGTGTAATAACAGCTAGACACACACCATAAATAGCAAAAGTGTAAGCGCCAAAAATATTAGTATTATTAAGAGACCGTGTACATAAATCTTTTCGCCACCAACGTCCATAGTAAAACCGGTCAAAACTATTCGGTGCGTTTTTCTGCTAAGTAATAAAAGAAAACAAGGAACTGAGTCATAATTAGGCGTTTATAAGAGAAATATGTAAGACTAATTACACTAATCGTAGAACCATTTTCGTCATTTTATCCATCCGATACCATAGGTCCAAAAAAGGCTTTGGAGATAGAGGCTAAAACAGCATTTATATTTCTAGGACATATTTAAATCGGTTAGTCCAGAGAAGAGAAACGAATGGCGTGCGGTTTGGACTCGGCCAAAATCGCTTAGGCGGTTGTACGCATGGATGACGACGCTCCGGTGAAAAGATCCTCTGACTCCGCACCCACGAACACAATGGAAGAACCAAGTTCAGAAGGACCTGTCCGCAATTGGGCTGAACAACAGGCGCAAATCCGTAAAGGAGAGATGCAACTGGCGGCCCAAGCAAACACGGTTGTAGTGCCAAATAAGATGAATAACTCTGATTTGATTGACTCTGGTTTGCGAATAATTGCGAAGCGTGCAGAATTTTCAGTTATTAGATATCATTTAAAAATATAATAAAAAAAAAATTATGCGGTACAGTGTGCTAAGGACACGTACGTCTCGTCGAAGCTGGGATCTTCCGAGGGATCTGAAATTTGGGGTCATATATGTACAATATGTATAGTTCAATAAATCTCAGTACTCAGCTCCGATGAAGGATTTGACTATCGAGGACACTTTTCCGCATTCGTTTCTTATATATTTTTTAAATTATTTTTATTAATGAAGAAATACATACATACTTCAGTGCATCGAGTATTTTCACAAGATCTCTTTTTTTGCCCGAGTACCAGGTCACGTATCGTATCAAATGGATGGTCTGATAAGGAAAACAAGCCCTGCAAAAAATTAAGACCTTGCTTTAGTTATCCTCGTGGTAAGAAACGAGGCGTAACTTTGCTGGTAAATATATTTAAGAAAAAGATGCGATTATTTATTATTTTATTCCCAACAGATCGCCGGCAAAGTTCTAATTCTGCGAGGTCCTCAATTTTTGCAGTTGAAAGTAAACCCGCTTGGCCGATTCTTGCTCCGTTATAGTCGAAAATGTCCTTTAAATGCTTAAAAAGTACAGTTCAAGTACAATTTAATTAAGTTTGCTATACAAAAAATGATGATATCTGTTCTTATTTTTTGTATGGCTTATTAAAATGCCGTATAAAAATCAAAGTATCCGTGTCAGTTCCTTTTTTACAGCTATTTGTTTAGAATCGATCATTCTTCAAAGTGAGATCAGAGCGAAGCTTCTCCGTTGCGTACAAGTAAAAATATAAGCCCGGTTCAAGAAGAAAACTATTGCGCCTATTCAAGTGAAACGGAGTATATACATACATACATACATACAAATAAACATATGTTGTACATTAAGGCATCCCTTTAACCAATTCGTCAGCTGTCATACAAACCTTTAAAAACTCAGCCCGCAGGCAGCTGCAATCGCACATACACAACACCAACACTAACAACAACGATGCATAACTAAATGCATCGTAAGAAAAAATAATTCGACTGCTGATCATTAAAGTGTAATTTGTAAAAGCTTTACTTTTCGAAACTCTATAACAGAAAAGAGAGCCAATAAAGACCAGAAAACCGCCTTGTAGGTGCGGTTAAGGTAGCCGATGTGGCCGACAATGTTGCGGGTAAAGGCCGACAGTAATGCCAATATGTACCTACTCCATTCTGCGTACTCCTAACCACTCATCATCAGGCTGTGCATTCATTCATTAATTTTGCTAAGGTGCTGCTGCTGCTGCTGCTGTGGTTATGTGTTTTTGAATGACTGACACTTTGCGGTTTCTTGGTGTATTCACACATTTTGCAGCATGCATGCAGTTACAAGGTATGTACAGTATCGGTCATATCTATAGCACGCCATTTCAAAGTGATATTGTGTGCCACTTATGTTTATTTATTTATTTTTAAGAATTTTCAATTAAAATACAGTTCATTCTCAGACAAACCCCATATAAACCCAAGTGTAACAATTTGTAGAAAACTACAAAAAAGTGCAACAAATTTTCACCTAAATTTCAAACTTTTTTCTCGGAAGTGTAAGAATTTTTTTGAGTACATAGTTTTTTAGCCCCTTCAATTTTAGTCTGATAATGTGCAAGTTTCAAGTGGCTAAAAGTTACCGTTGATTTTTTAGAATTTTTTTCGGCAAAGGTGTTGCGGATTTCTTCCATATACAAATAAATTGAGTTTATTCATTATATGGAAGCCAATGCGACAAAAAAAATTCTAAAAAATAAACGGTAATTCGTAGCCACTTCAAATTTGCACATTATCAGACTAAAATTGAAGGGGCTAAAAAACTGTGTACTCAAAAAAATTCTAACACTTCCGAGAAAAAAGTTTGAAAT